ACTGACTAATGAGGAACCCACTTTTTGCCCAACACTTACCTCAATAGGTTGGTTACTCCGGATCTTCTCCTCCAGTTCAGCGTATGACCTTGATGCAAATGGCGCTCGCCCAAACAGTGCCTCTATATCCACAAAAACAATGCTGAGTAGACTATACTAAAAAGATAATCTGCAGTAATTACAGAGTATTTATTAAAGATAACTAATGTTGATTAAGTCAGTTTTAGGTATAGGGTATAAAAATGCGCATATTAAAAACTGAGATTTCTTTAGCTACACTTGAAACAGGCCCTGTGGAGTTTTCAAACAAAAGTCATATTTACATTCAGTGTTACTCAACAAAAAACACTGTGTGTATCCTTCATCAGCCTGGTAAACCAGGTGAAGCAGTGTGTAATTCATGTCAAGGGTATTACACATTCAAGAGATGAAAAGGTAGATGCAAAGGACTCACCATAGAGAATGACTCCTACTGACCACAGATCCACCCTGGAGTCGTACTGGCATCGGCACACCATCTCAGGAGCCATGTAAAGAGGAGAACCTCTCAGGGCACTCTGCTCATCCCATGGCGACATGTACTGAGCAAAACCAAAATCTGATAACAGAGTGGAAGGTAAACAATATGTTCAGTGGACAGAGTCCCCCTTAAACTCTGGTACAGCTATACAAACTCAGGTGTCTACTGCAAAGGACACAAAAGTCTCAATACATTTTAAGAAACCTTTGATATGATCTTAGTACAAAATTAACAAGCAAATGTGGCTTCTGCAAAAATAAGTTTACTTTCTTGCTCTGTAAACATAATAGTTCAAAAGCACAGTGACAGTGATTCTGATTTTCTAGTGGATGGCACATCTGTCATATTATCACAATCACATGCAAATCACTGTGTGTTTATTTACTGGTATGAGATTGTTGTCGATTACCTGCTAGTTTCAGGACAGAGCCGCTGAGCAGAATGTTCTGAGGTTTCAAGTCCAGATGTGAGATGTTTCGCTCATGAAGAAACTGGAGGGCACAGGCTGTTTGTGCAGACACATATACACATATACAAAAACAATTACAGAAAACACAGTAATACTCAACTCAGTCCATACTGTGCAGTTCTAGAGTCTGCAATGGATATATTATTTTTACCACAAGAGTGAACTCTATCTGTAATCATTTTCCCAAACAAATTACATGTATGCACGGCTGGAAAAAAGTGTCAAAAGCTCCAGAGATTTAAATTTTTACAAAAGTGCTATTCAAAGACATACTCAACATAGAATCAGTGCTGGTGTACTAATTTCTTGAAATGTAAATTTGTCTCTGTCAAAGTCAAAGTCAAAATAAAAAAAAAAAATTAGTTTGCAAAATGATTTAACCAAAGTCTGCTAACAACTCACCTATCTGCTGCAAGAAGCGTTGGGCCACCCTCTCAGGTAGGATCCTTCGACTGCGAATGAAGCGAGAGAGGTCTCCACCAGAACACCATTCCAGGATCAGATAAATATTCTCAGCATCCCACTGAAGAAAGGAAAAAAACTTCAGACACTCTTAGAAGAATTATATAGTTTTGTTCCAGATGCATTCATTTATTTATTGCTTTGGTACACAAAAATCATAAGTATCTCTTGCTTTTTCCTGTTGTGCTTTCTAGTGATGATGTAGCCTTAAAATAATAGACAGATATTTATTAGTGTTTAAAATGTACAGGGCAAAGTCTCATCAAAGTTTGCAGACAGGAAAATGTGATTTTATTCAACTTTTATTCAATATTTTATCTAAAATAAAAAAAATGCGCTTACCTGAAAATCTTTGAGCTGAACTATATGACGGTGACGCACAGTCTTGAGGATTTCAATCTCTGTGAGTAGGTTTTCTGTAGACGTCTTGTTTAGAGTCTTCTTCGCAACCACCTTCACTGCCACCACCTCTCGACTGTCTCCCTGCAACATCACAGTCAGGAACAACTGTTACGCTCAAATACAAAACCTATAATGAATAAATAAATAGCAAGTAGTGACTGCAATAGTACTCAGTGTAGACTGTGATAACACTAAATGAATTTGAGTGTTGAAAACACATTTAATACTGGCTAATAACTTTGACATTTATTGCAACATTGTAGTTTATTAAGTAAAGTAAGTATAGCCAAGTATAGAGAATCGCACTCCTGAACACCCAAGTCACACCTTTAGCCCAAACAGAAATATGAATGTTGTAGCAGATTTTGGCCTTCTCTGATGTTTTCCCCTGTTTGCTCTACAAACTCACCTTTCTGTAGGCTTTGTACACTGTAGCATAGGTACCACTGCCCAGCCGCTCTGTGAGGATATAGTCTGCCAGAACTGGAGGAGCAAAGCTGGAGGCTGAGGCCATGCTCACGGCAACAGCATCAATTTTCCCAAGCAGGTCTGAGCTGGAATGTAACACCAATATGCTAATGATGCCAAGTACATACATAGCCTGATTTTCACTACGTGAAGGTAAGGGTCAGCTACAGAATAGTGCCGCTGAGCTTGCACATAGTGGGGACACTAAGGATTGATTGTGCTTGCGAAAGAAGGGGATGACTTACAACACTATTGCGATAAATGACAAAAAACATTGCTTAACATCCTTATCAATATTTTGGGTGTTCATCGATCAACAAATTGCAGCGGTTTCTTTTAACATGTATTCAGCTTCTAATACTGTGGAGAGAAATGGTTCGCGCTGCTCCGTAACGCTCGCTGTAACAAATTAAAAGTTTACTTAATTAGTTCTGTGTATACTGTCCCTTGGTGTACTCCGAATACATACTGACTGTTAGACAGGCAAGTATTTTTCGTCCTGATAACCAAGGAAGTTAGAAACCGTCATTTTAATGAACTGAATTTGGTTTACTCGTCTTACAAGCTACCGGAGTTCTAGCTAGCTACTGCTGTGCTGTCACTGTACAGTTCATGTACACAACTACTGTAAATATCGTATCTGTCAACTGTTAGCTAAAAATAAAACAGAGAACTCTGACCTTTCTGTGTGCATTCAACTTTTTTTTTAAACAGATATGCAAATTGCTGCCACTTACCTTTAGGCCAACAAATGCCTAGCAAATGAATGATACATGAACGTTTATATTTATGTGCCAGCACTCCCCACCACGGTGACCAGCTGCTATAAAATATGTTACCGCCTCCTAGCGTTGGTCCTCCGTCACTACAAATTATGGGTGGGATTGCTTTCGTGAAAAAAATGAGAGCTTCAAAGCAGTCATCAAATGTTATTATCTCGATTCCAAGGTATATGTTCATAATTTTGATTAATTTATTTGTACGTAATGCTTGCTATATGTTGGTTATTTCGCAAATTGTCCACAAACATTTTATTTGTCATTTGTCTTCATCTGATTTTGAAAATAATGATATAAGAAACATAAGTATGTGCATCTACTTATAAATCATAAATAAGTCTAAAATTTTGATGACTAATTCATGTCTATTCTCATTAAGAGAGTTTTTTTTTTGCTTGCTTGTTTGTTTGTTTTTGTTTTGTGCCTATGAGAATTTTATTTTTTACAATAGTTCACCGGAAGTGAGCTGTCATTGTAGTTATGGTGGTTCTTTAAAGATGGCGGAGTGTTTGGCTGCACGTTTGTCAGCTCAGGAGGAGCAAATTCAGTTCCTCACCAGGGAAATTGCCACTCTTCGGGATGGACTAAGCCGAGGTCTAGACGGTGCCGATGCTGCGGTCGTTTCCCCAGCGCTGGAGAGCCTGCGGACCGAGAACGAGAAGCTCAGGTACCGGCTCCTGCACCTCCGTCGAGGTCTGCAGGCTGAGCTGGACGAGGCGAAGAGGCAAGAAGGAGCTAGATGTGTTGGAGCTCCGGAGAAAAACACCAGTATAGAGCAGCAGACCAACAACCGAGCTGATACTAAGAACAAGGTAGTAATAAAGTAAATGGTATTGTATTGGATAAAACAAACAGTATATGTTTAGCAGTTAATGCTTTAATTAACACGTGCTCTGGGATAATACTGTATATTAGAGTAGGCTTATAGTGATAGTTGAGGAAAATGCTTGTGTAACAAGGAGAGGTCAGTGACCTTTTGTTTGGAGGGGAAGTCGGATGGTCAGCGTTTTCCCAAAAAAGGAAAAGAAAAGTTTAAGAGCTGATTTAATGAAGGAATAATGCCAGGAAGTGAGAGATGGGAATAAAAAGTGGTAGGGGCCCTTTGCGTGAAGACCCCGGGGAGAAGACTACCTGACTTCCTCTGCCCAGACTAGGACTGACAAGGTGATCCTGTATCCTGTCCTCTTAATCATATTTCAATAATATTGTTCAACGAATGATTCTTGGCACTGCAGTAATTTTCTCTGTGCATTGATTCTACCAATGACAGTATCCAGTTTAAATGGCTTCATTTGTAATATGATGAAGGGATGAATGGTAGTAGTGCTTCACAAGAGTAATGGGCATTTGTCAAGTGAGGCAAACTGACGAACTATACCACCCCATTTCCAGAAATAGCTTTCCTACTCAGTGTCACTGGATGTGCACACTTTGGATAATGAGCATGTTAAGTGACAGTAATAAAAGGGTCATAATGTGGCTCAAAAGTCTTTCACTGCTTGGTGACACGAGCTTATTGTAAGTCTAAAGACAAATATCACATGGTCTCTTAACAGGTGGCAATGCCCGATTCCAAACCAGCTGACAGGAACAAGAAAGAGAAGAAGCAGAAAAATGGACAAGGAGAGGGAGTTGTGAAAGAGGTGACTGACATGACCTTAAAGTTATCCAGCTCCTCTGTTCATCCACTGTGCAACAGAGATGAAAGATCTGTTTCTCACAAACAATAAAACTTGTCTTCCCTGTAGTCCCACAGTTAATTTCTTCACTTTTATTGCATTATTCTTGAAATTTCCATTGTAGCTCAGGCCCTGGCCTGAATACATTGTAGAGCGCCTCAGCCTCTATGAAGAACTGAAGAGGGAGAATGATGCCCTTCTGGCAGAGAAAGCCGCAGAAAACAAGCCCATTACTGTGGAACTGCCAGATGGACGAAATGTGGCAGGCAAGGCTTGGGTCACCACACCGTACCACTTGGCTTGTGACATCAGGTTAGTGCTAAATAGCTGGTTGTGATGCACTGAGTTTCAGTGTAAAACAGTATCATCAAAGAATGGCTGCCGATATGATCAGTATAATACATTTTTGATCTACAGTATGCTGAATTGTCTGATATGAACAAACACCTTAAATGGAGACAGTTTCCCAGGTGTGATGTTTTTCCCAAGTGATGTCCTTAATCTCCCTTTTCATTATAATGATAGCAGCCACTCAGTTACATTTGGACATAGCTTTGTTGAGGTGATCATCTTGCAATTCATCTTTCAGCCAGGGCCTGGCTGACAACGCTGTGATTTCTCGGGTGAACGGGGAGCTTTGGGACCTGGACAGACCTCTTGAGCAGGACTGCTCTCTTGAGATCTTGCGTTTTGACAATGAGGATGCTCAGGCTGTGAGTACATAGGGCATTTTAAAAAATGTATTAGAAAAAGCTTTATTAACACATTGCTAGTGGCTATTTTCATAATTTTTCAGTGTCTGTTCTACAGATCAATGCTTGTACTCAGCGTCCCAACTCATTTGGTTAAACTATTGTTCTTTGAAAAGTTAATAAATATCTTTGTGTCCTAGGTTTATTGGCACTCTAGTGCTCACATCTTAGGGGAGGCAATGGAGCGCTTTTATGGGGGTTGTTTATGTTACGGACCCCCCATAGAGAATGGTTTCTACTATGACATGTTCTTGGATGGACAAAAGTGAGCAAGTATATTCATGATCAGTGTTTTTGCCCAGGATTGCTATTCTGGAGTAGCTTGCAAACCTTTGGCAGATTTCTTGAATTAGCTGATGTTCATAAATTGTAGTCTTAATTGTGTATTTTACTGGTTGATTAATCAATTATATTTGGCTTTGCTTTGGTGGGCTTAAACTGGGGCATACAAATCCTTTAGAAGTTACTATCACAGGATCATCATCATGCCAAAAGTAACTTTAAAAACTACAGAAATGTTATGACACTTTCCAGAGTAGCATGAACACTGTGAGCACTTGTAATAAGCTGAACATCTTTGCCGTTTCCAGGGGAGTGTCCAGCACTGAGTTTGGGGACCTGGAGACTTTGTGTAAGGCTATGGTGAAGGAAAAGCAGCCCTTTGAAAGGCTTGAGGTCGCCAAAGATACACTGTTGAAGATGTTTAAGGTGTGTGTGTGTGTGTGTGTGTGTGTGTGTGTGTGTGAGTGTGTGAGTGAGTGAGTGAGAGATTGCTTCATTCCCCCTGTTTGGAGAAGTGAAGCACAACAAAGTAGTTGTTTAGTTTAGAAAATGTTCAAAATTTGAAATATTATGGTCATGTTATGGCTATGATCCTGTCCTGCTGA